ACATTTTTATTCTTTTGTAGTAATGATTGTCATTCTCGGTGTTATTTGTGTGTGTCTGATTGTTTTTGCTTGTTTGTTTGTTTGTTTTTGTTTTGTTTTTCCTAATTGAAGAAACAAAACCCAGAAATCTAGATTATATTAAACAATTAAATATCTGATTGCAATAGGATGGCCTTTTATTTTTTGTTAGTCCAATCTTATTACTGGACATTCTACTGTAAGTGTAGAGTAGCACAAAACAAATATTTAAGTATGTACTAGCTTTGTTTATCTTATGTAAAACTGAAAAGTTTGCAAGAGTTACTGTGGTTTGTTGCATTAACATGTCCTAAAGCTATGAAATTTGGTGTGGATATAGAACAGTAATTATTATTTATATATAAGACCATAGACTGTAATGATTCAGGGAAAAAATAATAATAAAAAAAGTACATGGTATGACAGAAATGGGTAGAAAGAGTTTAGGAGGTTGTCACTGAGAGCTCAGAGACATTTGGGTTAGTGGTAGTCATCAATCTTTTCTGTAGTTTAGCTTTCCTCTTTCCTACAGGGAAACGTTTAGATACACTTCCTGCCTTTTAATAAAGAAAATCCAGTTTCAGCTGGATTCAGAAGCAGCCACTTCTTTACACCTCTTTTTATTTTAACTTTTGCTATATAAACAGACTATGTTTTTCCCCTCACTTTTCCATCAAAAGGTGTGTTCCACAACATTATGCTTTGGATGACTAATGGTACATCTCATTTCCTCAAGTTGCTCATGGCTGGTTGATATATTCTGCTATATTCATTGTCCTTCAGCTTAAGCAACATTACATCTCAACATAGACAGCAGCATTATCATTTCTTGGTCTTTGTCTTGCTGGACTGAGTGACCCAACCTCATTTTTTCATTAACTCACAGAATTGGTTTTTCATTGACCTTTTCACCTGTCACCTTTTGCTGATCTTTCTTTTGTTGTTGTTGGTGGTGGTGTTTTGTTTTGTTGTTTTCATTCCCTTGATCTTGCCAAACAGGTATTAGTGAGAGAGAATTCAGAGTCTAATTTGCACTTCTGTTGCTTACCATACTAAACCTGCACTGCTTCCCTGGCCAGCTGGAGACTCTGCTCCTAGAGGCTGGGGCCAAGCACTGTGGGATCACAGCCAGGAGGAGAAGTAGGACAGGCCAGGGAAAGCCTGGGAATATTTTGGTAATTGTTAAAGCTCATGAAAGGGGAATGGATATGTTGGAGGGATGGAGAGGAGAACTGATGCAATTAAGGTGAGCAGTTCATGAGTTACTGTTGCCTTCAGTAGCCTTAGTTCCCCAAATAAGTTTTGACACAGTTGACTAACAGCTGATGAGCTAATGCTGAAGGTTTACATAGTGTCATGAAGGAACACCACTGTTCCCGGTAACGTCTCTGTTAATTCTTTTAAAGGAGCAACAGTATTAAGAGACTCTCTTGTAATAACAATGCCTTCTTTTGTATGTGTATGTAGGTAATCCCTTACATAGCTGTTCTCTGTCCAGCTCAGTTGAGGTTACTTCCCCCCTTCCTGCTCCAAGTAGATTAATGGTCTTTCAGTTAGATACATGTATGTGTCTTTCTAATATCATCTAGTAAAAGAAAAATAAACCAGTGTCACCCCAATGTTTAGAGGCTGAAGGAGACTCTTCATAGGGAATATATGGAAACACATCAGACAACTAAGTGATCATCAAAAACTACTAAGCCTTATTCACCCTTGCCTTGCCTCATTTCTCACTAGGTTGTTGGAAAATTGAGTGCAACTGTGTATCGGAAACTCTGCTGTTACAACAAGAAGAACACCATTAAACTACATGCAGGTTCACGCTACTTCAAGATGTGATAATTTGTCCTTTATCTACTCACAGTCATTCTGTGCTTATACCAGAGCAATGAAACAGATAAAACAGGGAAACTTCTCTGCCTTCTTTCAAATTTTCGTCTTAACCCTAATTCTTACCAGGACTGGTACGAAGAAACACCTATAAACTAGAATTGTATGTACATGCAGAATGCATGTCCCAGTTCCTGCCCACATAGTTTATGAGTGGCACCCATTGATTTTGTGGGCTATTACTCATACTCTACAATGTGGGGAAAACAAAGGAGGGCAAATAGTCATACCCTTGAATTGCTACCCTGCCTTTAAACAAGTCAGCAGGAATGAATCCCTGTTCATCTGCTTGGAATTGTTTTTCTGTTTGGTAGCTTTTTTTGTAAGCTTTTCCATGGCATCACTAACTTCATTAATCTACAGAAAATAGGAAACCATTGCCAGTTCCAGAGAAGCACTAGCTTTTTTTTATCTTTCTTGATCAGTGAGTCCATGGGAGAATTTTCAAAGCTGACTTCCACTGTTCTTAGTTGTTTCCTCTTGCTCTATTTCACTGTCTCAAGCCTCCAAGTTGCTGGTCAATTAATGTGACAGAAGCCCCGTAGGTTACGTTTGTTCATGGTAGACATGTCTTCTTTCATTAGACCAGCCTTAACAGCTGCAGAGTTTTAATGTCTTAGCTACTGTATAACAGCCTGTTTGTAATGGAGTGCTAAAACAATAAAAGTGTGTGTGTGCTGGGGAGCAGGGGGGAGATGCTCACATTGCCTCATTAGAACAAGAGCTGAGAAGGAAAACATTAATGTAAAAAAACCTCAGATTTTCTGCTGTTCTGTTGACTTTTATTTCAATCCCTATTCAATTCTGAGTCTCAATGATTTCCCTGTCTCCTGTAATTGTAGAGAACTCAGTCCCAACCCTTTTGTTATTCAAGCTGGATGTTCTGGCTAAAGGTTTTGCTGTCACTCCAAGGAATTTGAAGACTGCACACACACACTGAAAGGTTTTGCAAGCAAAGTCACTGGTCTTAGATTTGAAAATTTGACTCTCAGCAGTGATACATGGAAATGATCTTTCATTTGCTATTACTATCACTGTTCATTAAGGTTTGCCTATAACTGTAATCTCTTTTTAGCTTTTTTTATGTTTTACTGGTATTTACCAAGCTTTCTTTGAATGTTGTCCAACATTTTAACTCCCTAAATCAATAGGTTTGCCTATAAAAGTGTTTATAGTACTGCTTTGTCACCATTAATTATTCTTGCCATTGCAGGTTAATTAATAAATATTGCATTCCATCTTTTAAGAAGCTGTTTCAAAAAATTACCCAACTAAGGCAATGCCTGACAGTTGTAATCCCAAATGCCTAATATTGTTCAGTGACATTCAATTTTAGCGATCTGATATGGCCATTAAATATAGAAGGCCAAAGTTAATGATAAGTTTATATATTTGTGCATAATTGTACTCTCTATCTTTGTAGAACTTTATATAACAGATGCATAAACAGGAATAATTCAAAATTATGTTGGAAATTGGAGTTCATTTTGAAGTGTACCAATATGAAATGTAAGTAAGCATCAAATTTAAGTAAGCAAAAATTATAGCAAACTGCCTAATGTTACCCAAGATTTCCCAATTAATTGCACAGATGTGTGGCTTACTCATGATAAAAGTAAGCATTCTTTAAATTTATTAGGAATATTATTTAACAGTTTCTTGTCTTTTGCTTCAACACATTTCCAGCATAACAGAAGCATACAAACCCAGGAAAATAAATGAATTAGAATGCAACAGAGCACCTAATCTTTCTCTGATTGAAGTTAATGGGAGTTCTGCTTTGAATTTGAACTGAAGTTGAATTTAATGGAAATAGGATTAGGCCAAAATGTATATAGTCTTCTTGCAAATTTGTTTTTAGGAAATTTAATTATAAACAGGATAAAATGATAGGAAATTATATTTCATGACAGTACAAGACTTCTATTCATGCATAGAATTATGTTTATTAAAGCTAGAAGACACATGCATTGTTCTGTACTTGCTCCTTACAGTATATAATTGAGTGGTCTGTCCAATCCATCTTTAAATCATATAAACATCAGAAATTCTGCCATTTCTCCTGGCCTGTGATATATTCTTGCATAGAATGTCTACTTTGAAATTTGGCCTAGATTTTCCTGAAAATTTTTCTTGGTGAAATGTTGAAGATAAATTATTAATGCCCAACTACTGTAGACAAGATTGGTTTTGAACAGGTTTTGGAAGTCTGAAGATTTCAAATATCATCTTTTAGAACTCAGATCCCAGGATGGCTTTATGTACCTATACCCGATCAAAATTTCACTTAAGAGCCCAAGTCCACAACAGCAGGAGGCCCTCTTCCATTCAGTGGATGCTTAATCCACACTGTTCCTAAACTTTGGAAATATTTAAGCTTTTGACATTATGATCCCCTGTATACTTGACAAACATGTGATAGAGGCATAACTTTGAAATTCTGCTAAAGTAAGATACCAACTTTCCCATTTTGACTTTCATTTCAATCTCTGTGGTGGGTTCTTTCTGAAAAACACCCCTCAGAAAAATGGAGGGAGGTTTAGTTTTGCATAATGGTCGGTTCTCCAATTTTTCTTTCACTCAGAGTTGCACAGATGTTGGCATGAGCTTCCATGAGAGCACAACACTAAGCTGAAGTGATATTTGTAGAGAGAACAACAGAAGGATGTAATATTCTGGGATGCATGTGGCATGGTAGCTCAGCAAACACTGGAAGCTAAGTCCTACCTGTGATGCTTGTTTTGAGAGCTAAACTTAATTGGTAGTTGGCATTATAAATTGAGCTCTCTTTATGAAAGAGTATAACCTTCTTTCAGGAAATAAATGGTAAGAGCCTTCATCCAATGTACAGGGAGTGAATTCCCTCTTTTGCCTGAGCAAGTTCAGGCCTTCATCTTCCACCTCCAAGACTGCCATTGGTGGTAGATTTAAGGTAGGGTTTGAAGGAGCTGAAGTTTTTTCACTTTCTAAGAAATAATGGGCTGTAGCCTTGTAGCTGTCCTTTTTCTTTCTCATTGTTTTTGTTTGTTTGTATGTTTGTTTGTTTCCAGGCAGCACCTGCATTAAATTGCATTCCCTTTTCTCCTTTGCAGGTAGCTTCTCTTGGAGTCACCACCTTCACACTGTGTGCCCTCTGCATTGATCGGTTCCGTGCTGCCACCAATGTACAGATGTACTACGAGATGATTGAGAACTGCACCTCGACGACTGCGAAGCTCGCTGTCATATGGGTTGGGGCACTGCTGCTGGCACTGCCAGAGGTTGTGCTGCGTCAGCTGACGAAGGAGGACCCTGAATACAGTGGCAGCCCACCAGGGGAGCGGTGCGTGGTGAAGATATCCACTACCCTACCCGACACCATTTACGTGTTAGCTCTTACATACGATGGGGCAAGACTCTGGTGGTACTTTGGCTGCTATTTTTGTTTGCCTACCCTTTTCACTATTACCTGCTCCCTGGTAACAGCAAGGAAAATCAGGAGGGCGGAAAAGGCTTGCACAAGAGGGAACAAGCGACAAATTCAGCTAGAAAGTCAGATGAACTGCACAGTTGTGGCTTTGACCATTTTATATGGGTTTTGCATCATTCCTGAAAACATCTGCAACATTGTGACTGCCTACATGTCCACAGGGGTCTCTCGGCAGACTATGGATCTCCTCCATCTCATTAGCCAGTTCCTTTTGTTCTTTAAGTCCTGTGTTACGCCAGTCCTCCTTTTCTGTCTTTGTAAACCTTTCAGCCGGGCCTTTATGGAGTGTTGCTGTTGCTGCTGTGATGAATGCATCCAGAAATCTTCAACAGTGACAAGTGATGACAATGACAATGAGTACACCACAGAACTGGAGCTCTCCCCTTTCAGCACCATCCGTCGTGAAATGTCTACCTTTGCCTCTGTGGGGACTCATTGTTAATTGACCTTAGGACTTTATTTCCTGTATCTTTTTCTTTTTTCTTTCTTTCTTTTTTATTTTTCTTTTTTATTGTTTTTTTTGTTTGTTTGTTTGTTTTTTTTTTTTTTAACTTCATATTTTCCTTCTGGAAGAAAAGTGTTAGAAAAAGAATTGATTATTGAAAACTACTCAGAATCCAATCTGCATATTAACAGTCATGCTTTGGAAAATAATTTCTGTTTGGTTATTAAAATGAAAGAAAAGGAGAGGAGAGACAGTACTCAGTTTTAAATCATGATATTTTGTATGGTGCTAGGATATTATTGCTTAGGAAGGAGAATTCATATCAGTCCACTTTTATTTAATTTCATGATTTTTTTATAATCACTGTAATATGATTATATAGACATTGTGGGTTTTGCAGGATGTTAAATGTCAAAGATGTGGTGGAAAGTTTTTGAAGGTAGTTTTAATCCAATTACTGTACACTATTGTGAGAACTCTTGGACTTTGGAAAATTTATAAAGTAGCATAAAAATAAATGAAGTTTTATTCTTTAACATCCTTGTCAATCTGCATTTAACAAGGATCGCTTCTAAGTAGGATTAAAATCCTTTAATAAGTAAAAAAATCTTTACTTTGCATAAAATAATTTAAATAGCCACATTCGTGTACTTAGCCTTGGAGACTATAACAGGGTGTTTAAGGAAGATAGTAATAATGACATTAGATTTACACGAGTGGATTTTAAATATATATTATGAAGATCCAATGTGCCTCATTGAAACTTTCCTTCTTGACCTACAGTTATACAAAACCTGAGTTATTTTGTACTTCTTAAGAAGAAAGATTTACTTTCTCACTAAAATTTGTCTTGTGTGGTTTCAAAATCAAGTTTCTTTCCAATTTGTTAATGGTTTTACATTGGGGTTATGTCCTCAGTCTCTGTGTATATAACTTCTGCTGGCTTTGGTGGGAGTCCTGTTGCAGCAGAGGAAGGCTTTCTTTCACCAGAAGTTTGCCAACAATAAACGTGAGGGGCTGCAAAATGTGGAGAGTGAATTCCTTTTTTTTTTTTTTTTTTTTTTTTTTAAGCTGTAAACACACTTGGACACTTGGGGCTTGACCCAGAGCTCATTGCAGCCATTGGAAAGATTTCCATCAATTTCAGAGGGCTTTGGATCAGACTCACATCTATTTATTCTGGGATATGTAGCATGAATATTAATCACAGGTTCTCTGTATGTTGACTATAAATCATGTTGCTCCCACAGAGACTGCTATTCACTAGCAGCTCACAGCTCTGAAGCTGTTCTTGAGATCCACAGAGTGTTTTGCTGATGGTATCTTGCTGTCCACAGACTCATTAAAATGAGGGTATGTCAACACTGCAAGCAACAGTGCGGTGTAGTAAAATCTAAGGTTGTTATAAGCAAGCAGAGACTGGAAAGCGCTTATCCGTACCAGCATGGTTTATTTGCCCCACTTCTTGGCTGAAATAGACAGACTGTTCTTGGCAAGCAAGTTGGCTCATATTTACGCTGGGCAGCAGGCTGAAGAGTAGACACACTAAGGAACAGAACACATTATAATAATCTTATATTTTAATACTAACTAACTAAATAATAAAACTGCATTAGTACTTGCAATAGTAAAATCACAGGTATTTGTTCTCTGAAATTAACAGTAAATGATAGTCTTACTTCCCAGTACCTGCCGCTAAATATGTTAAAGAACTTGCTGTAACTTCTGGAAAATAGCCTATTTTATTTTTATTTCTAGATTTTGAAATGTTTGATCTTTGTATCTGCTTGGGTAAGCAGTATTTCCTCTTTTTCATTGCGATTTTAACCTATATCAAATTCAACTGAAAAGCAGCATACTCTGAATCTGAATATAAATGCACTTGAGCTTCTGGTTTTTGAATTAAGCTCTACCAGAAGCAGTCTGCCTAAATTTACATATGTGATTCTACTTAGGTCTTGCTAAAATACTTGCTAAAACATTTGAAAATCATTTTGTAAGATTTTCAACCACTTTTGAAGTCATGGAAACTGTCCCTTATAAACATTTCATTGACTTAACCTTGCTTGGTAACATTCAATAAACTGTAAAATGTATTAAAAAGAAAAGATAAAGCCCAAATCTCCACACTGTGGTGCCCATCTCTCCTCAAATGCATATTCTCAACTCTGCATTTTGATTTGTAATATTCTTTTTTAGGTGCCCAAATTCATAACAACTGGGGCCAAAAACCAAAGAAACAAACAAACAAAAACCTCTTTGTTTATCATGTTTCTTGCTCAGTTGTTACTGTTGTCTGTCATTTCAGTCCTGGCTTGAACAGTGGTTCAAAGACTTGATAAAAGAACTGCAGAATGGGAGGAAGCACATTTTTTTACATAAGGAAAGATAGAAATTACTCTGGAATATTGAATGGTGATATTTTGCTAGGCTGCACTGGAACAGGAAAGGTGCCCAGTTGCCTCAGGCATTAGGTACCTCCATCTCTGCACTTTTCAGTGGGTATGTGTAAGCCTACTTACACATTACCTGGGGTGTTTGCTCCCAAATAAAACACTCTGTATCCCTCAGTGGTGCAGTGCTTCTCCATTTCCACAATATGTGTATGCCAATCCTATTGGGTGAAAATAATATTAATAATAAAGAATCATCAGGAAAATAAGAAAAAAAAAAAAGAGAGAGAGAGAGAGATTTTAAATGTCACTGGAGAAGGTAGAACCTGGAACTAATAATTCTGTGGTTGCAAAAACACCTTCCTGCTTGTGTAGTGGAGCATTCTCCAGGCTTGTATTCAGTGAGGCTTCTTTGTATCCAAAGTAATTTTGCCTTTTCTGGTGCTGAAAGAGCATTTTTGACAGCTGTGTCTCACTCTTGCCTTAGACCTCTCATGATCTCTTAGACAACTGTTCTAATTTGTTTCCTAAAGCTGGTAAACTAATACCACAGTAGCAGGTTTGCATTGTTGCAGCCTGAGACAGTGGTTCTAATACAGGCATGACTTGTTAATGTATTTAAATGTCATGATAAATTATTCCTTTTGTTAAAGAAGGAGTATTGCATTGTTTTTCTTCCTACTTTGGGGATTGATGCTCCAAACTCTCACATGTTCCTGATGTTTGCTTTTCTTATTTATTTATTATTTTTTTTTAATATTCTTAGGAGCTATTTCTCTCTGTTTTGAATCTATTTCTGTAAGGCATTTGTCTACTAACATGAAGACACTTAATGGACTGATGAATGAAGATTTAGAAATGTTTATGGCAAGAATTTAGTTCTTTTATGTTAAGCAGAGAATAGTGGGGGATGGTGATCGGCATAAAAGAAGCATGATAGAATGGAAAATCAGATTGTGAGATAAAAAGGTCTTGTACTTCTCAGATACTGATGGGTTAACACCTATCACTTCAGCCCTGTTCCCATAAAGAAATAAAATAACATACAGCTCTATTATGAGCTCCAGTATCTTCAACAAGATTAGGTTTCATGACCTGCATCAAAAATACGATCTTTGTGAATACCAACATACAGATGGTAAATTATTGAAAAATATTGCTCAGTTGGAAGAAAACTTTTATTTTACTCGTTCCAATATAAATTCCTGCACCTATCCTTAAATAGCTTTTACCTTTAAGTGGCTTATGTCTTTTCCAGCTCCTGTTCTGTCACTGGGATCCACGTGTAAGCTTCCATAGCTGCTGTTCCAGAAGCTCTGAGAATTACTCCTAAGGACAATGTGGCAGTTTCCAAGCATGTTGTCCTACATCTTTTCATAAGGAATTGCATGAAGTTAGACTGCATGATACAACTGTCATCCTGTGCTAGTAGCTCTGAGAGGCAAACTAGATTCTATGAATTTATGAATTGCTATTGAAACTGAGTAGCTTTCCCAAACTCAGTAAATACGGTACTCATAAATATTCAGTACAATAGTACTCACAACTCTCTTTGGTTCTGTGAACTATTGTGTTAGGTGCAGTAAAAACACATGCAACCTGTCCTAGGGGTGCCCAGATACTTCTGCTGGTCTCAAAGACATCAGTGAGCTGTTTTCTGGGCTTATTTATTTATTTATTTATTTTCTGGCAGACATTAAAAAACACCTAAAGCTCTCACATCCACCCCTTGTTACAGTGTTGGAATTAAGACAGAAGGCAAAAACTGCTCAAAACCAGTCTGTCTCCGTAGCTGGGCCCAGTCTTGTGAATGTATGTAGAGCACATCTAAAATTTCTTCAGAATGCCAATAGATACAGGCTTACCCCAGTAATATTAGCATATATATGCTTGTGCATGTACTGATGTGACAAAAATTTCGCTGTTGTTTCTAGGGTGGAAGAGCTGGATTCAAATTCCTGCTCTGCTTAATTTATATATTTGATGGTTCCACATCCCTTCAGAAAGGCCTAAGCTTTATGGTAACTGGGATGTTGGTGAAATCCTCTTCTGTTGGGGTTGTTCCAACAATAATCATCAATTAAGTATTGAAGTAGAGCCTTGAGCCTCAGTATCACAAACCACTGACCAAAGCCATTATGCTGTGTAAACTCTTCTGTTCATTCTCTGGTCCAGGAGATGTTTCTAAGAAAGAGGAACAGCTACTGCCAGAGAAGTGGAGAAACCATGACTCAAGAGTAGCCATCAGTTAGGCTGGTAAGGTGCTCAGGTGAGAAATGAGCAGCTTTCAAATGCCTGCACTAACCAGACATTTGGACAAAAGCCTCGTTTGGAATTATGTGCTAATTTATTTTTCTGTGATGGAAAGTTGCGGATTTCTTTTGTGTCTCCTGGATGGGAACCTCCCCACCTTTTTAAGCAAATTGTACATTTTGGGTGACTAGTATCTAAGAAAAAGGAATTATCAAAAGGAATTCTAATAAGTTTTTCATTTGCATTTCTCTCTTATCCAGCTCTTTCCTCTCCACCTGGTGACAAACTTTCTTTAGAAAGTACAAATTCCCCAGATTACAAAGGGAAACTGGGACCTTAAATCCTAGCATCTTAAATCTTCACCTTGAGAATATCCTTCCTTTTATTTTATTTTTTTTTAAGTGATGAGTAAGGTCTATTTTCATAATAGCTTTGAGAAATGTGATTAGAAAGAAAGTTATACCAGTCATGTTACGTGATAATACCTCTTTTTTTTTTTTTTTTCTTTTTTCCTTTCTTCTTTCCAACCATTTTCTTTCCATGCAAAGCTCAGACAAAGTCAATGAGCAAATGATGTGAATTATTAAAACTCAGCTGTCTCCTACATGCACTTTCTTATGCTTCAGGAACTGTATTTTTCCGCTACTGTTTTGTATTTGATGGAGTCATTTAACACCTATGTTTAGCAGGTGTTAAACGTCAAATTGTAAAAAGCTCAGTATATTTTGTAGTGAATGGGAAACAATGAAAAAGACATAGACTGAGATGCTCCAAGACAGCAGGCATCTCTGCTATGGAAATAGTGATCTATGTTGAGGACTACATTCCAACATCAACATACCAGCATCAACATACCTACCAACATGGTAGGTTCGTACCAACATGGTAGGTTCATACTAACATCGCCATACCAGGAGGAGAACTACACCCATGTCCTGTATTTAATCCCTGCAATCCAGGCAATTTACTTACACTGTGCAAGATTTTGGTAGTATCACCTTTGGTTGTGAGGCAGAAAAAGTGGAGACAAAAACTCTCTGGCATTTCAACATATCCATGACAGTTCTGAGAGCCAGTTCCGTGACTCCTGCTGGTGACACATTCCCTGCATCATGTCACACAGTGCCAATATCCACAGAACTTTAACATGTAGCTATCCAAGCCTCTTTTAAGGTTGAGGCCAAATATTTCTGTCCTTGTGCACTTTAGCTTCAC